CTAATTCGGAACTGCACTACATCAGTTACTAAAATGGTCATAACTTTTTACTCAGAAATTGGATTGACGCGAAATTTGTGGCGTTGGAAAGTAGATTCAAATACCTTTAATTTGATAGGTTATAGGTCACATAACTCTTTATATACTAAGAGATATGGTTGTTTGAAGTTGATCCAAGGAGAATCTTAAATCAAAACTTAATTCGTAAGGAACTTTCAACTCAATTTTGTGCTAGGAGATTTTAATGACCTTAATTGATATCCAAAACCATTTCCATACTAAAAAATTTACCTTTATAAATATGAGCAATTTAAGATTAACCCGATAAGACCTTATGTGCAAATAAAGAATAGTTTGAGCCTTAGCTTAAAAAATTCGGGGTGTTACATGAATTATGTATGCAATATATATATATATATATATATATATATATATTATAACTGTTTTAAAATATATTATGATTGTTTGGTAAGAAATTGACACATTGTATTAATATGTATGATAAATGTATTATCCATCAATAAAACTTGTATTATATGTGTTTTATAAATTGCTCTCTGTAATATGTATTAAAATTGTATTATAAATGTATTAAAAGTGATCAAGTGAATAAAAAATGTTATTGCTATAAATGGTAAATGTTTTCTTAATATAGTATATTTACGTATGTTTAAAAAAAAAAAAGGTTACACCCACTTTGAAGAAGGAATTTATTTTTTTCTATCTTTTAATTAACTCATCAAAAAGATTGTGACTATTTTTGTGACAAAATTGTAATTTGAAAAAAAAGAAGAAGAAAAAAACACATGTAATTACAGTTAATTAGAGAGTACGTTATACTTTTCCTTTATCAAAATTTTCCAGAAGAAAAAATATAAAGTAGATTAGATAATAAAATAAATAATCCATTTTTAAAACATTAGTTGATGAAGTAATACTTATATTACAATGTGAAAATTAATAATGAATGACTTTTTATGTGATTTGAGTGAGGGATTTTGTTTAGTTTAATTTTGAATTAATAATTTATATGGCTATCAGGCTATGGCATCATATGATGTAATGTATAATTACTATATTATTTCTCCGTTATTTTAGTCTATTATGAAGTTCCATTATCGTCTTTAGAAAATTCATATCTATTTTAATATATTTCAAATCAAAATTTAAAATATCTAATAAACACATTGAGAAAATCGATCTTATATAGTGTTTGTACTAACTAAGTTTAGTTTTACCTTTAAATCATTTTTTCTATTATAAATAGTAAAGAATATTTCAAATAAAACATATGTTAAATGTATCTAATATGAAATAACTATTTTTAGTAAGATGATCAACTAATATGGAACGGAGAGAGTATTATTTAAATATATCACTAAGTGAATAATAATTCTTATTAGTTATTTTTAATTATAAAATGATTATATTTTAAATGTCCGCGCAACGCGCGTATACGTATATTAGTCTATATATATATAATAGGAGAGGTGATAGTGTCGTGTCAGCACCACAAAAACAGTCTTTTTTATTTTTTAAAAATTATTTTATATTTTACAGACTTTCTACAGTCATTTAAATTTTGGCGTTTTAAAAAAAAATTCAAATTGTGACAGTTTTTAAGTCATAGATGATTATCTATTTAATTTAATTTTAAATACATTTCAAATATCTTCTATATCATTATTTACAGATTACTAAAAAAAGTCAGCAATGAAAAAAAAACATATCGTGTTTGTGTTATAAAAAAATCAAAAAATAAGAATTCAATCTATATTTAAAAAAAATAATCTGTATTTCAAAAAATATTTTATATTATAATTTTATATACTTATTTATGAGTATCTTAATTAAAATGATAAATAACTGTCTTATCCGCCTTCTTAAAGTGAAAAAATATTTATTATTATCAAATTTAAGATTTTACATCATTTTACTGTTAAATAATTCTTTTAGATTTAATTTAGTTATTTCTACTTTTATTAAATTCTATTCTACTTTTAAAATCTATATATATATATATATTATATATATAATAGGAGAGGTGATAATAATAATAATAATTATTATTATATATATGATAGGAGAGGTGATAACGCCTAGGTGTCAGCACCACAAAAAACAGTATTTTTAAATAATTAAAAATTATTTTATATTTTACAGACTTTCTACAGTTATTTAAAATTTTGGCGGTTTTTTAAAAATTCAAATTGTGACAGTTTAGATGATTATCTACTTTATTTAGTTTTAAATACATTTCAAATATCTTCTATATCATTATTTACAGATTACTAAAAAAAGTCAGCAATGAAAAAAAACATATCGTGTTTGTGTTATAAAAAAAATAAAAAAAATAGGAATTCAATCTATATTTCAAAAAAAAAATTCTATATTTCAAAAAATATTTTCAATTATAATTTTATATACTTATTTATGAGTATCTTAATTAAAATGATAAATAACTGTCTTATCCGCCTTCTTAAAGTGAAAAATTATTTATTATTATCAAATTTAAAATTTTACATCAGTTTACTGTTAAATAATTCTTTTAGATTTAATTTAGTTATTTCTACTTTTATTAAATTCTATTCTACTTTTAAAATTGAAAACTATAAAAAATTAAAAAAAAGTCACATTAATTTAGAATAAAAAAATTTCATTTTAGATTTTACAAAAGAAAAAAAAACAAAAAATGTGTTTTCTTTTTTGTTTATGTCTTAATGAATAAGATAATAATTTTAATTTTCTTAAATCATGTTTTATTTTGATCTTGCTTTTTTAATTTTTTGTATTTTTATAGTTAGTTAATATTTTATTATTATATTTTTTTTTATAGAAAAAAAGAAGCAAAACATAAAGAAAGAAAAAGACAAAAGCTAAATAGAAAATTAAAAAAAAAAACAAAGATACACCAAAATAACTGCTTGCTCACGTGCACACTCTAACCCATTCCCCATATCCCATCAATCCCGCACATATTAACCCCACGATCACAATAGATATGAAATCGAATTTAAAATTATTTTTTAATAAAAAACTGTCAGGTTGTGTTTAAAACATCACAGTGTGTTTCTCATTCACATAATTCTCTTTTTAAGAGTTTTTTTTTTAATATAAGACTTCTATTCACGTTCATATCATTCCATGAATTTTTTAAAAAAATATTTTTAGTCATGAAGTTGTTCAACTACAACTCAAGCATTGATCAATCGTTTTCAATAAATTTGTTCAACAATAATTCAAGCATTGGTCAATCGTCTTCAATTTGATGATATTTCGTTTGTATTTTCTACAATATTAATTTGACATGATTATATTATTTTTTATTTTATTTAGTATTATAAAATTTAAATCATTTGATCCACGACGTTTGGTTAGAAAGCTAGAAAGGAAGGAATCATTTCATTTATCTTAAATTACAATAATAACATGTATTATGTGCAGTTAGATTCTAAGTACGTTGATGAAGTCATAACATCAATGAAATTCAAAAATTTGAAAGAAAATAAATATGCACGTTATTTCATTATTTGTAATGTTTTAATGGTTGGATTTATTTTTTATTATTGAATAATCAAAGATACCATTCATTTTCTTAATTTTCTCTTCCCGTTTGATATACTTCAAAAACAACTACAGGGAGCAAGCTTTTGGGAGCATATATATTTTTAGCTATATAGCCACTTGTGCCATTTCATGTAAGTATTTTCTTTGCTTATTTTAAAGTTTTATCTCCGTTATAGTTTTTCTTTGTTTTCTAATGACATCTAAGTGACAGAGTCGAAATAAATAGTTCTCAAGATTTGTATGTGTCCATGAATAAAGTTAAAGTTAGAAAATTAATTAATTTCTTAGAAGGTAATGCATTCACTTCATTACCTCGAATGCTAATGAGTTATTTTTCTATATCCTTTTACTTACTGTTTCTCTACTATGGATTATAAGAAAATAAATATGTTGATGAGCATATTAATTAAATATGTATTTATAGTTGAGATAAGAATTTCTAATTTAAATTCATAAAATTTTAATGTTGAATTTATCGATAATAAAAAAGTAACTAATATAACATAAATTTATTGGGTGATTGATTGATGACTATATGAAATTGTGATGGACTATTGTAATGTTGCAACTAAGGACAATTATCTCCGAGCAATATTATTTTAACAATTGGACGCGCGTAATCAGAGACCAAGACCTTATGCAATTGTTGTATGTAAGGTTTAGTCAAATCATAATCCACCTTTATTATTGACCAATTTGTAGAGACACTTCTCTCATATTATGTATTTTTTATTGCTTTGAAGAACGCTTAGAGTCGATTTGATCAGAAAGCTAAGAACTGAAGTATTTCATATTTGTGAAGATATTCAAAATATATTTAAAGGTTCATCTAAAGTCTGAAGATTAATGTATGCAAATCATACTTTGCAAGGTTTGAATGAAGCTCAGAGATCTCAAGCATTTTTTCAAACTCTTACAACAAAATTTAGAATTTGAAAAGTAATAAATAAAATGTAATTATTTATATATTTTTACGTTTTGGAATGTTTTAAAAAAAATGAAAATTGTGCTTTAATTTGTTTGGGCTCTTTTTAAAAAATCAAATTTGACATTGTATTTAAGTTTATTTGTATTTGTTGTGATTTTGGAACTGTTCTACCCTTAATGATGAGGGAACAAATATGAAAGATAATTGACTTTTGATATGTTAATTTTAAGTTGACCCACGAATTGCATTGAAGAATAATTGTTGTGAGCGTAAATTATAACTTAATTATTAGTTGAGTTACTATTTTTCTTTTTATTTTTTATATTAAAGTGTGTATGCAAATAACTTGATAAATTGTTATAATTTTAAATTTCTCTTCTCTTATATTTTTTTAAAATTTAACAGCGATATTCAGACATGCTTGCTACACTTCATCTTAATTAACCCATTAACAGAAAAGAAAAAAATAAGAGAGAAGGAAGAGTTTTCATATGAGGGAGAAAATGCACACTTAATTTTCTCTTATATAGAAGAGAGTTTCAGAAAATTTCAACATGTCTGCTTGGTGGTCATTCAATTGACAAATAAGAATATTTTTGTCATTCCAAGCATTGTATGTGTATGTGTGGTGCATTCTCAATATTGCTCCACCTAATTTTTATTGCCACCGCATTACAGGTGGCTTTCATGCACCTCTTTTCATCCTTTTCCTTGGCAATAGAATTTCAAGCTTCATCTTTGTGCTTCGTGTTCCTGCAATTTCCAGGTATTTCTCAATTGCTATTTTCTGCTCGCCTTCAATTTCCCCTTCCCCATTCCTCTTTTCTTCTTTCTGTATTTGAACTAATTCTTATCTGGGAATTTGTTGTTGTAATAATCAAAGGGGGGAAAAGAAGATATGAGAGTATTCTTTGGTTTTTTTGTGAAATTTGATTCTAAATTTTGGATACTCAAGTGAACTAATCAATCTTTGCTTTTGATTGTTCATAAATATATATTTTGTCTCTGCAGGACCGCACTCTTTCATCTTCGAGCTTCTCCAAGTATATACTGACTTTTCATCTTCAATCTTCTCCAACTATTGCTGCAATTTTGAGGTAATTCTTCGTTGTCTCTCTATGTCGCTCTTACAATTTCTTTTTAGATTTTATTTTGTCAAGTTTTTGTTTTCATGTGTTATTTTTCTCGATTTTCTTGAACTTCAATTATGGGTCGATGACTTGATGTAGTTTGAATATGAGAAGAATCCAAAATGCATGATAAATACTCAAAGAACCATTAAAAAGCAGAAACAAATCAATCACAAAAAAAATAAAATGAACCACCGAAACAAGGAGTGCATTTCATGTGCAAGTCCAAGTCGTACATACCCCACTGATTTATCCGAGGCAGCACCAGCAATTACTTCTTTTGCACCATCCTGTGTTGCAGAGGTGCAAGCATCTTCACAGGATGATGTCGAGATGGCCCTCCTAAATTAACAGGAAAATTTTCTAGGTAAATTTCTTCCTCTTTCTTCTTTACTGCCTTGCTCTGCTCCCTCTCCCTTTTTTTTTTTTTTATCTCTTTTGTTTGTTCTCTCTGAATGTTGTTGAACTGTTTTCCCTTATTAATTGACATGTTTTCTTCAGCATTGTATTCCTTTCTTAGTAAAATATTTTGATTTGTTGCATTTAGGATCGCTCTAAAACAGTCTCTTTACCTCTGTGAGGTAGTGTTACACTTTAAGCTCCTAGAACTCACTTGTGGATTACATTGGATATGATGTTGTTGTTATTGTATTTTTTTTAAATTCGTTTCAGTTATTAATTTGATTGAATATGCAATTTTCAAATTTTAGTAGTATTTTTGAGTCAAAATCTGAGTTTTATTGGGTTAAGCCCCTGCTTCGATTGAAGTTAAAATCCTTTTTCCAGTTAGTGATTAGTGAAAAAAAAGGATTTTGATTCCAATTGAAGTTGGGTGCTTAGTATCAGCAGATTTAGGATTTTTAACTGAGCTTTTTTGGATAGCGAAGACAGAGATTTGCGTATGAAAGAGGAAGACATGTAGGCAATTACGGTGAAGTTGAGTAGAAAATATTATACTTTGTTTACCTGAGAAGTGAGTTCCTCATATGAAATATGCTTTCGGAGAAACATAATGAGAGAGATTGAATTTTCTCTATGTTCAGCAATTGCGAATGGTCTGCTATGGCTTGGTATGTGGCGTCACAATGATTTTTTTTCTAGAATTCTAAGGTCTTGAAGAAATAGGAAGATACTTGATCTTGGGTTATTTATCTATATGATTATCCGTGAGGTGACATGTGATTCTTCAAAGTCTTGAGGATGAACAAGTATGACTTGGAACAAGCAGTAGCTGGAGGAGTAGGTAAGTTAATGTGGTGGTCATTAAAAATTAATCAGTGTCGACATTAATTTCTACCTTCCTTTTCCATACGGTGTTGAGCAAAGCAACGACTTCTAGCTTTTGACCATTTTATATTTTGTCTCTACAGGGTTTCAACAACAAAGAGATGAATGAGGAGTTGCTCAAGAAGAATAACGGCAACATTAGATCATGATATATTACAAACCCTTAAGTTTATAAAGAGTTGACTTAGTTTTTTGGATTATCTTTCAGTTTAACGCAGGAAAAAAGGAAGAGAAAAATTCTTATCCCCATCAGCTTGAATTTATTTCATATCTGTGATGCTCTTTGAGTTATTATCTACTATGAATTGTTCCAAAAATCTGCAATGTTGTTGTAAAACATTGTGTCTAAATTTTGTTATTTGGATGGTAAGAAGTTCACTTTATTTGTAGTTTCGGAAGTATGGAATTAAGAGGGACACTCTTTTTTCTTTTTTTTTTACAAGGGTAAGAAGTTTGAATTGGTGTAACAAAAATCTAATCTTTAGGTTTCTCATTCTTCCACATTCAGCTTATTATTATTCTGCTGTTGGAGTTCTGTTTTAGTAATTATTGAAGAAACCAGCCACTACAAAATGTCTCAATTGATATGTACTCTCCTAACTCTACAACATTGTTTCAAAATTGGAAATGCAAATTCTTTGAGGTAGTAGCAGTGATGATTTGAGCTTGTGATTGGACTTTCAGCTAGCTATTTCATTTTTTATAAGGTAAGAAACCTGCTTCTGCAAATGCTAATAACATATATTTTTTGGTTACGATAGCGCACCGTTGGGCCGTGCTTGCACGGGCTTATACCATCTAGTATCAATATATGCTACAATTATATAATAAAATAATAACTATCCCATGACTTCACTTATAAAAAGTGTATTTTTATGAAAATGATATATAACTCTCTTTATACACTAAAAATCAGTTTTAGAACCTATTTTTATGTTATGTTATTATATTTCTATAAAATACGCTTAAAAAGTTTACTTTGTTTAATCAAATTAACTAATTCTTATTCGAATCGGAGATGGTAAAATACTTTTAAGTTAAAAATCAAAGTTATATCTGGATAGTTGGTTTAAAAAATATCAATTAAAATGAAATTATAAAATTTATATATATATAGCTTATATTAATTGCTTACAATTTTGAATTTTGAGCGATTAATAGGAGAAGTAAAAAGTGACACGTGTCAGCACTATACAAATTCAACAATTTTAAAATTAAAAAAATAATTTGAAATTCTTTTATATATGTATCTTAAATTAACCAAAAATAAATAAAAAGAGTTACCAACTATAAAATTCTTTTAAAAATAAGATAAAAATTAAAAATTAAATATTTAATGATATTTTTTAATATTAAAAATTAAAAAAAATAATTAAATTATATATTTAAATAAAAATGAGAATCAAAATTGACAGTTTTAAAATTTTCCATTACATTCCCACTCAAACACAAACTCTAAAACCTGATTAAGTAAAACTTAGTAAATTGAACCAATTATATAACACAAATTGTATTTCTTTTAACATAATAAGATACTAACAAAAATTCAACAATTTTAAAATTCAAAAAATAATTTAAAATTCTTTTGTATATGTATCTTAAATTAAACAAAAAGAAATAATAAAGAGTAACCAACTAAAAGATTCTTTTAAAAATAAATATTACAAAATTGTATTTTGCAAACAAAGAAGAAAAAACACATGTAATTACAGTTAATTAGAGAGTACGTTATACTTTTCCTTTATCAAATTTTCCAGAAGAAAAAATATAAAGTAGATTAGATAATAAAATAAATAATCCATTTTAAAACATTAGTTGATGAAGTAATACTTATATACAATGTGAAAATTAATAATGAATGACTTTTTTTTATGTGATTTGAGTGAGGGATTTTGTTTAGTTTAATTTTGAATTAATAATTTTATAGGGCTATCAGGCTATGGCATCATATGATGTAATGTATAATTACTATATTATTTCTCCGTTATTTTAGTCTATTATGAAGTTCCATTATCTTCTTTAGAAAATTCATAGCTATTTTAATATAGTTCAAATCAAAATTTAAAATATCTAATAAACACATTGAGAAAATCGATCTTATATAGTGTTTGTACTAACTAAGTTTAGTTTTACCTTTAAATCATTTTTTCTATTATAAATAGTAAAGAATATTTCGAATAAAACATATGTTAAATGTATCTAATATGGAACAACTATTTTTAGTAAGATGATCAACTAATATGGAACATAGAGAGTATTATTTAAATATATCACTAAGTGAATAATAATTCTTATTAGTTATTTTTAATTATAAAATGATTATATTTTAAATGTCCGCGCAATGCACGGGTACGTATACTAGTTTGTATAATAAGATCTGTATTTGCATAATTATAAGTGTATAGGATGAAAATATATGTATTTATATTTGTATATACACTTTTCTCTTATAAAGTTACAAACACATTTTATTCATTTTATACCGAAATGTATAAAATGGCTAATTGTATACCGAAAATGATTAATTGTATATCGAATCAGATGACAAAAAAGGGTATGTTTGCTGCGAATTACAAATATAGCATTTAATTTGAATTAATAGTTTGCTATTTTATACAATTTTCCCTAAAAATTTTAACCAACCAACACTAATTAATTAATTTAATTAGCATATTGTCTCTAATTAGCCTATTAAAAAACTTGTTGCTACTTTTAAGGAATGAATAAAAAGAAGTTATCCCTTAGTTAGCCCATTAAAAAAAGGTTACACCAAATTTAAAGAAGGGAAAAAAATATTATTTATCTTTTAATTAACTCATTTAAAAGAATGTGATTATTTTTAAGGCATGAAAACATATTTTCAATCCCCAATTAACGCGTATTAATTATCAGGTGATTACCAATAATTAGTCAAATTATAAAAAAATGATGATTTTTATTAGAAACCGCAATACCTATACACACATTATATTTATTTGTATACATAAAAATATTAACAATTATAGTTGCAATTACTTATATAAAAATTAATATACTATATGTATACATAAATTTGTTCAAAAAAATTGACGTGTAAATTTAGCCAATGTATATGATAACTGTAGTATGTATACATAAATTATTTTTTGCTTATATACATAAAACTATATTTTGTTTATATACATGAGAATATCAACAAAACTTATAATTGTAACTAAATACTATATACATAAATAGATTCATTTTGAGGAATTGACTTGAATATATAATATTCAATATAAATTGACATAAAACTGCCCAAAAATATTTTGCAAAATATGGCCTAAAACAATTGATACAAAGTAGAACGATGCCTAATTTTAAGAATTGATTTTTTTTTACCAACAGACATTAATTAATTTAAGGAATAATTGTACATAATGGCAAACTAATAATGTAAAATAAATAAAGTAGCTACCGTTTCATTTATTTTCTTTGAGGAGCAAAGGTCTCGGTCAATTTGCTATTAATGGGCCCCACCGATTTGTATATGTAAAAAAATTAAAAAACTGACATTATTCCCTTTTATACAATCTCTTCTTCTCGTTTATATCTCCTATTTCCTTCAATTTTCTCTCAAATTTTCTCCCCAAAATCAATTTGAAAATTCAAATCTTCACCACCACGTTCTCAATTGCGATTTCAAAAAATTTCAGGTACCACCAAAACTTATCTCAATCGATTAATTTAAATTTTTGTCTATTTTTTTCAAGCTATTTTTCACATCAGTTCATCATCCATACAAAGTTTTCATTCAGACAATGGATACCCAGTCTCCATCTAAAAGATTCACAAGAGGTATATACACTTGCATGGCGAAAATAGTGTTGAACAACCATCGTTTTCCTTGGGTCTAACTCAGGATTTTGGGGAGGTTGCAGGTTCAATGTCCAAATCCAACACAATGCAAGAGATTAGATCCAAATTGAAAAATGACCCAATCAGATTGAAGGAAATGAGTGCAAAATTGAAGCAATTCAACATTAGAATTGTGGAGGGAGGTAAGAAAGATCAGTCTGATGCTGGGTCAAGTAAAAAAAGGAAAGAAAAAACAACTAATTATACAGATGACAACGCAAAAAGAAAGGAAGTGGTTGTTTCTGGCTCATTAGAGCATGGTGGGGAGGTTGCAGGTTCAATGTCCAAATCCAACACAATGCAAGAGATTAGATCCAAATTGAAAAATGACCCAATCAGATTGAAGGAAATGAGTGCAAAATTGAAGCAATTCAACATTAGAATTGTGGAGGGAGGTAAGAAAGATCAGTCTGATGCTGGGTCAAGTAAAAAAAGGAAAGAAAAAACAACTAATTATATAGAAGAGAATGCAAAAAGAAAGGAAGTTGTTGTTTCTGGCTTATTGGAGCATGATGAGGTATTTGTATAATCATTATTTTTGTATATGTTACGATTGTATATTATTCTTATATTTCCTTTGTTGATTTATGTCTTGTATCTGTTTGTTTAGACAGTTGTGTATAGTCACTATGTTAATATCCAAACTAAATGTATAAAATAGAACTATTTAACTATACACACAAGGTAAACAATTATACATTTGAAATTGGTTGTATAATGTATAATATTAATAGTTTTTGTATTAGTAGTGTCACAACAACTTCTCTATATATACAGTATAAACATTTATACGTTTGACACAATTTTGTGCATTGTTTTATGTATAAGTTTTTGCATTTGTATAAGAATACTTTTTGTATAATGTTCATTTAGACATATACAATTGCACAAACTTATACACATACATAAATTGTTTGTATTTCACTATACATACAATGTAAATAATTATACATTTGAATTTGTTTGTATAAATATAATATCAATAGTTATTGTATTAGTAGCAGTACAACAATTTATCTATATATACAATATAAACATTTATATAATTGAAATCAGTTTGTATAACGTATTTTTTCTTTATAAAACTTGTATATGTTATTTTCAATTAAAATCTATTTCATACATTTTGAAATCTGTATTTGTGTCTTAGTTATGTATACATGTATATTTTAGTAAAACTGTATATGCATTTTTTTCTGGCTGTTAAATTTTTAGGCAAAAGGGAACCAACACGCACACCACACATGCAGTGTTACACAAATATTGAAGTAATGAATGTGTTAGCTGAAAAGCTCTCTGAAACTCAATATAATCGATTTTGTGGAACCACATGTTTTTTCCAATTGTCTAGCATCCGTAGGTGTCATGTTCAAGCACAACTTATTAGGTGCATGTTTTTGAGAGAGATTGAGGGTAGCTAAAAAAATGCAATCCTGATACATATAGATGGCACCACTCTCCTATTCACCATTCGTGACTTTGCTATCATATCTGGGTTAAAATGTTCAGACAATGAGAATGATTTTGTCTTTAATACTGAAGAATCAAACATGATTATTCTTCAGTATTTTGGTGTCGAAAAAGCCATCACCAAGAAACAATTGGTTGACAATTTTTCTAACAAG